AAAAAACTATTAAATCTAGTCAGGATGTGCTTGACGGAAACACTCAATAAAGTTAGAATCGGTAATAATCTGTCCGAAAAATGTCAGGTGCGTTCGGGTTTAAAACAGGGGGATTCCCTTTCGCCTGTCCTGTTCAATTTGGCATTAGAACATGCCATTAGGGAGGTAATGCGTACCGAAAAAGGGTTGGTTCTGGGTGGGACAACATGAGGGGGCGGGGTGGCCGAATGGGCTAAAGCGTGTGCACAGCACCGCGAGTTGCCTGGCAACCGGATCACAAATTTGAGAAAATTAAAAAGTTCGAGTTCGCGTACCGGTGCCGGAGGGGATTTTAATTTCCTCGCCCTCACCCTCCGGCCCAGGAAAATCCCGTATAGCCTTAAAAGGCGAGGTAGGGAAGAACAGGAAAAAAAAAAAAGAAAAGGTGGGACAACATCCGTGCTGGGCTATGCTGATGATCCGGTACTGTTAAGCGAAGACGTGGAAACTATGAGACTAAATACGATATCATTAATGAAAGCCGGGAAACAACTAGGACTCGAAATAAACGCGGATAAAACAAAATATATGGTTAGCTGCAAAAATGGCGATACTACTGGTGATATCGATATAGATGGTAATATGTTTGAACAGGTAGAGAAATTTAGGTATCTAGGTGCTACGATAACTGGAAAAACGAAATTGAAGAAGAGATTAAAGTTGGACTGAAGGCGGAAAATGCTTGTTATTTTTCTTTGACAAAACTATTAAGCTCGCGCCTCTTGTCCCGGGACTTAAAAATTATAATCTATAAAACCATTATCTTACCTACAGTTCTTTATGGATGCGAAACTTGGCCGCTTACATTAAGGGATGAGTAGCGTCTTAAGGTTTTTGAAAATAAAGTATTGCGTAGGATATTCGGACCGAAGAAGGATGAGTTAACCGGAGAGTTCAGACGGTTACACAAAGCCGAATTGCGTGAACTGTATCCGTGTACTTGAGGTAATTTCATCGCGGTAAATCAAATGGGCTTGTAAAATTGTGGGGCTTAGTAACGAGATAATTTCTAAAAGGTTAATATTTGCTGTACTGAATGGTAAATGTAAGAGGGGTAGACCGAAACGAAGGTGGGAAGATTGCATTAAAGCCGATCTGAAGGGATTGGGTTTGGACGACGAACGGTGGAAGGAGATGTGTAATAAGCGATTGGTGGTGTCGGCATCGAATCTTCGGGTTCCCTAAGCCTTTTATTATTATTATTATTGTTATTACTATATGATATTTACAACTGATAGGATACATATGTCATTGGCATACATGGTAATGACAGTGTTGGGATGGGTTGGGATGTCAGCTGTATAGATTGTGTAAAGGATAGGACCTAGGATACTACCTTGAGAAACGGCTGCATACTGTGAAAGCAGGATGTATAGACATTGTTGTGATTTGCTTTAAAGTATCTATCAGCCACGTAGGAACAGATAGTGAGGAACTATGTAGGTGGTAGACATTTTCGGAATTTGTACGCCAGTTCCGGTTGGAAAAGGAGTTATGACCAAGTTTGTGTTTTTCTTAAGGTAGTCACGTTTTTATTGAATAAAAAGGAATCGCTCAAAAACTATTCAAGATAATTGAATTTTAAGTGCACGGCATCGTAAAGATGTCAAAGTAAACGATAAAATAGGATTTTTAAATTTACTAAAGTCAATGACAAAAGTTACTTTCAAAAGGTCTAATACGGCCGCTGTTGTGCTGCAGTTTCAGTATCCGAGCAGCATATCTCTATACCGCGCCTGTACTTGACCTCCTGTAAGTCTCGTTTATCGTTGACCTTAGTAGATTTAATCACTGTTTTCTCATAAAAAAAATTGACTACTTTCCGATGGTGTGCTTAGACTTTAACTATCTTCAGCGACTCCTTCTTATTCAATAAAAAGCATGAATACATTAGGAAAAACACAAAATTGGTCATAACTCCTTTTCCGTTCCGTATCGGCCCGGAAATTTTGTCTAGAATCACCTCCCAGAATTTGGCCTTTAAGAACTGTTACACCCTGTATATATTTTTTATATATAACTCTGCTTTTTATTTTATGAACTTTAGTGTGAATTATTATGTTTATTTATTTATTTTTTGTTCAACTCTATCCTGTAATACCTCCTAATGGGCCCTGGACAGACGGTCCAAATATTTCTAGTTACGCCACTAGCCGCTAATATGTATATATATATATATATATATATATATATATATATATATATATATATATATATATATATATATATATATATATATATATATATATATATATATATCGGTAGATTTATTGCTATGACGAAAAAGACACTACTGAATAATTCCATATTATTTTTATCGAAATGAAATTAAGTGTGTTGCTTTAGTTCGAATTCCAATGTTCTTCCAAAATTCCTTACCATTTTTTTTTCTAAAATATTTTTTAAAAAACTACATCTCACATAAAACAATAATGTTACCATCTTCGAAGTACAAGCACACGAGGTGCTTTGAATCTAGTACAAACCACTTCGTATAACTAATATAAGTTAAACGTAAATATAAACGTTCTCAATTTTTCATTTGTGTTAAAACGCTCTTATCATCCATACCTATCATTGTGTAAACATATTTGCTCCATACCAATATTACAGGCAGTTATCAATATTTTTAGTATTAGAAATTTCGGCCTTGATTTATCCACGTTATCGGGTTTCAACCAACATACCTAAAAAGATTTTAAAATACAATTGAATTGTTTTCGATTTTTTTTTTTTTTTGTTATATTTCACCAATTATGCATAACATTCACCATCAATACTTAATAATTCGGTCCAAACTAATCACAGCAGACTCTATTATAATTAGTTTTGATAGATTAATTCTATAGAATAATGATTTCAACATTGAATGAAAATTTAGAACGATCAAAATAATATATTTTATCGATCTGAGCATGGCAAGGTGGGAGGTCACCAAACCATTTATTGACCAATCTTAACTATCCCATTTTTTATCAAGTTATATTACATTAAAAAGATTTCATGTAAGCTCTCAGTATACCTAATGGCTTATTTCATCCTAAGAAGATCTACGATCAACTACCAGGCTGGAAAACTACCAGGCTCGCAGAGAATGATATGGAAATTGGCTCTAACTAGTTCTTGACGCTATATCCTTTTGTAATTTGCCCGGACTAAAAAGTTTTACTGAATTGGTTGATAGGGGGTGGCCACTCAATTAGGGGCAATTCTGCGTCACAGGGCTTACTCTTTGATTCGGAGCGTAATGACAGGGTAATCATATTATTAAAGGGTTAAGCCTTTTTAAAGGAGGCTCAGCTTCAGGACTAACTCATTGTATCGTTGGACTGTCATCTGTACTTACAGTTTTTTTCTCAAGAAGAAGACTACAACAAGACTCAAAATGAAGATCCATCAATTAATCAAGAAATTAAGGTAACTTCTTCAGCAATTAAAAGATAATAATAATAACAGTAAAACATGAATTTAAAAAAATGATGAAATAGTTCTATCTTGATAGAAAGATTTTTTTTTACAGAATTTTATTTGTTAAATTAATTACATTAATATTGAGAAATAATTCATAATTTTAAAATTATGATATAAAACACAATTAAATGATTATCCATTGAGTTTTATTACTTGTTTTTAGAAGATATTTCATCTAATAACTGTAAACAATTATTTTTTTTAGTTGAAAAAATTTAAGCCATTCACCAAATTAATAACTTGGACTAACCCAATTTTGGGACATATCATATGCTGAAGACAGAGATAGAGCTTTCCCGAAATGTTCACTAATAAATAATAATAAATAACTAAGTGTGATTATTTATTAGATTGACTTATAGACAAATAGTTGTAAAAAGATAATTTAGAAAAAACGTCATAACTAGAAAGTGAAAACAAAAATTAAAATCCATTGATACTCTATTTAATTGAAGTGTCGTACAGAGGTGCCCACAAGGGGGTTTCAAGAATTCATATTCAGTTTTTCAGGGGTTTATTGAATAGTTTCAAGCAAAGAGACAAAGGTCATACATGAAACATACCTCAGCAAGTGTAATTGTATATAATTTAAAATACTTTTATTTTGAATGTTTTTAAGAAGAGGAGAGCTATAAAATATTGGAAAAGGTCTTGGCGGGATGAACACCCCTGGTGTTGTAAGTTATTAATCATCAATTTCCTAATGAATTGCTAATTTTAGAATTCTGTTAACACAAGACAATGATGAATCAGGAATATATTACATGTTTAAATTAAATAAGTTTATCATAGTTAAACTTATTTGAAATAAACATAAACAGATAAGTGAATTCATATAAAAAAAATAATTATTCTTCATTTCATTATCGAAACTGTGAACGAAATATAAGATAAGAACATTCAACTGAAAATACATTTTAGGAAGTCCCGTATGAATATAAAAACAACTAAAAAAGCAATAGGTGGTAATGAGATTTTTCTAAAAATTATTTCTGTTGCAACAACAAAATAAAAGCATCTCACATGTTCTCATTACAAATTGTAGATGAAAAATTTCACCCAATGATTCAGTTTTTCTTTAACTAACTTTTGACCCTCATCAATAGAACTTTATAACAAATTTCTCTCCATCATGTAATGAATTGTCAATGAAGCTAGAGAAAATTTGAAACTATGATTTCTTTTTCTCTTGTTTTAAAAATCATCAAACTATATATTGCAATTTTCAATTATTTTTTTAAATTTTCATTTTGCTGAACCAAGAACCGTAGCCTTGTCCTCGATTTAGAAATAATACTCATCTATGAATGTCGATATTACTTTAAAGTTTCATAATATAAATACACCTTGTTTAGATAACTGTTTTATTTGTATCATTAATTATTCAGTAATTAGCCTAAGGATTCCAGAGAAGTAAAATTTTAAATATAATTTTTTTCTGATATCTTGGAGAGATTGAAACAAATATCCTTTTCTGAATAACGAGTAAAGTTTTATTAACATTTTTAATGATCACACATTATTCAAAAGTAGTATGAATCAAATCTAACTAGAAATAATAAAAAATCATTTTTATAATTTATACATTATAGTGCCTTATTACGTTATAACTAATTGAAGAAGAGGTTTATGAATATTGGAGAAAATATTTGTTTTCATATTTTTTAATAACCTTTGATGTATGCACCAAGTATATTTCTAAATTTTTTTATCTCAAATTGGTATGGTCATTAATATTAAACTTCAAACGGTATCGAGTTGAAAGATAAAAGAAATCTTATGTCATGATAGGAATTTTCACAATAAAATCATAATCAAAAAACAAATAAATTTCTCAACTAATTAATGAAATATCTACTATCATCTATGTATAAAGATAAACCAGTATCTCTCTCTTCAAGAACTGTTGTTTTCATGTGTGCGTGCCCATTTAGTTAGTGTTTTATATAGAAGTAGATGGATCACACGGATTAATCACACATATAGGAACCATGCCGTTAGAAATGAGGTATGTTAAGGCTTATTTTTTAATTTTTGCAACTTATTTTATAATCAGAAAATCTGAGACCACAACTTGCAATAAAATATTTAAAACAATTTTTAAAAAACTTGACTTTTAAAAAAAAATTTCTTTGAGAACATTTTCATTTAATAAAAAATAAAATACTAAAATGTATGCTATTATTCATATATCAATTGAAATAACACCTAGTTCCGGGGATTTTAATATCCAAATGCATTCAGTAGAATTCTGCTTGATGCTTGATATTTTTCGAACAATGATATCAAGAATGAACAATGATACCTATTCAATATTACGACTTGAATTTTACATGGCCTTGCTTTTGAAATACAACATTATTAAAACATGATTTATAACCATGTTTGGAGTAATTTATTTTAACTATAGACAGCATTTTCATGAACCAGCACTTTGAAAACTTCTAACCAATCTGTATTAAAAATTCTAAATGAACAGATTTCTTTATAAAATCTTTACATTTTGGAATTTCTTACCAAACCATATCCATAAATATTCATCTACAGCATTATTTAACAATCATTGAATCCTTTTATTTCTAATATTCTAAAGAAATGATATTAAAGGGCTTAGATTGTATATATAATAATAATAATAATAATAATAAATCTATAAAAGATAAATAAATGTAAAGACAGAGATTAAATTGTAGTGCTCCTCTAGTTCTTCTCATGGTCTTGTAAATGCAAATATCCAAATAGGATCCAAATAGTATTTATTATATATTTAACTTATTATTAATATCACTATTTTTATTGTGCATTTAAATTGTTTATTAAGAACTATTTCATTTTTTAACCATTTTTATTATTTCAATATATCTATAGTTTTACCATTCCTCTAGAATATAATAAACTTCTACATAACAATGAGTGCCAAGGAGTGCTGTTCCTATTATTTTGAAGTTGCTGATTTTGTAATTTCATATATATATATATATATATATATATATATATATATATATATATATATAATATATATATATATATATATATATATATATATATATATATATATATGGAAATGTTTTCTCAGAATAATCCCTATTTTTCGTTATTTCATTCATAAAAATAAAAATTCAGATAAAACATACAAACAAAAGCAATATTTATTCAAATAATTCTTGAAAGATGTTTGATATAATATTAGTAAATTTATTTAAATATAATGGATCCATTAAAAATATCGTAAATAGATTACAAGAAACACTAATTTCGAAATAAAAGTTAAAGAAATATTGTAAGTGCTTAATATTGTGTGAAATATTGTATATAATAATATTTTTTACACAAGTTCTTCGACATACCTTGATTATATTAGCACACATATTGTATTTATGTTACCTGGATAAACATTAAACTAAATTTAAAATTTAATTTATACTAGTAATCACTTTTAGTATATAGGTCATTCATTGAAGTCAATTATGGATTGAAGAGACGTAACAAGAATAATGTTACATTTCTATCAATAGAGTTACAATTCTATTCAACTTTATTTCAATAGGAAGGATTTTATTAATGGTACATGTAAGTGCCAGTCAGAGTAAAGTAGGCTTCAATTTAATCAATAAATCTCAGTTGAGAACCAAGAAACAGTAAAGTTGAATGATAAACCAGGATTACAGACCCAGATAAATTCCATAGTAGTAAATAAAAAAAAGTAAAGGATGGATTTTTCTTCATGTATTTTGAGAGAAAATGAAAATTCAAAAACATCAATAGGAAATTTTAAAAAGTCAAAGGAAATTCCAGAAACACCTAATGGAAATTCAATAATATTGAGGTATAAAATGGTAGATTCTTTTGTGTGGTAACTATAGGATAGACACACCTACATTATTAAATATAACAAATATTTAAGTTAGTTAAAATTCCCTAGTTCTTTATCAAATATGTTTTTATTTGTTTATTTTTTTTGTTCAGGAGAGTGACAGTTTTCATCTATAAAAATTTAATTTAATTCAATAATTGATAGGTAACTTGTTTGTAAAAAAATCAAACTTTATACTTTTATTATTTTTTTTTTTTAATGTTCAACTCAAAACTGAACCTCTGCGTCTATTATTCCCACCAATACATTTAAAAATCTGTTTTAGAAATAGAATGTTATATTTTGGTAGAATGTGATGTTATTTTCAAAGTTTTAGAATCCTCAATTAATTGCATTTGAAGTTTTATTGTTCATATCCCTAGTCTATCAATATGTGAAAATGGAAGCGTGTTTCAAATATTGATCAAAATATAAAAATACAGTATATTACTATTCACCTACCAATTTAAAAACTAATTTATCATCCCTTGAAGAAGAAAGCACATTATCATGATGCATTAATTAAAAAAAATTTATTTATTACTTATAGTTTTTTATCCTATGCCTTATTATGCATATTTTGTGCTAGTATATGGAATAAAATCTCATTGATTTCAAAACACTATTTTTTATTCTAATAATTAATTTTATTTGTTTCCAGCAAAATGGATGGGGAAGAGAGCCATATACCTATGGTTGGAGGTAACCATCAACCATCAAATGGAGAGTCATCGAAGACACCCCAATATCTCTACACTTTAGCTGGTCAGTTTTATACAATTTATTTACAAAATTAAATATAGTAATAAATTAAAACTAGAAAGAGAGTTACCGATACATTCTGTGTCGGTCTATCTCTATAGATCTATACTTATAAATCTATTCCATAAGAACTTCACAAAAAACGAAATTAAAAAATTCCAGCTCCCTCAAATTTGAATTGAACATTTATTCAACTTTCTAGCACACTACAGTGTTGTTCTAATATCCTTGGCAGAAGCAGCCTAGTTTATATTATAGGCTATTAACATACAAAAAAAAAAAAAATACAAATAACTAATTAGAAACTTTATTAACAGTTTCTATGACTTTTTTTTGTTTTTACAATTTAGGAATAAGGTAGGAATACTCATATTCATTTTCATAAAAAATATGTAAATATTACACATAAAAAATATGTCACATTCTTAAATACTTATTTTATCTTTATTATGAAAAATCATAAAACAGATTTTTAAAAAGAATTTTGCCTTCCACATTGAATTCTGAGACAAATCAATAAGATTTATTTTTTTGTTCCTGTATTTTTATAAATACTTCTCAATTGAAATGGTTTAAAATTTAAATTTCTGGTCAATTTTCAAATGGGTCAAATTATTCACACTCTAAAAAAATAAGAATCAATTAACTGGCAATTTAATCTCAAACCATTAATATTGTGGTGTTCAAATTAAACAATTTATAAAATTCATAAGGCAGAATAAACTTTACCAGTTATAATGATGTAGAGATGGTTGACCGTTGATATAATATGAGAAGGAGTTAGTCGAAGGTGTGGTCAAATAAATAAAAAATTAAAATATATTAATTATTTTAATTTTTTATTTATTTGACCGCACCCTTGACTAACTCCTTCTCATTTTACCAGTTATAATATTTTATTTTTGGTAGGAACCTTATTTTTTACATTTATTCTATCTAATATTCTTCTTATAAATTTTGTTATTTGTATGAGGTTTAACTCTTGAGCAATTAAATAAAAATAATTACATTCGCCTTAAAAAAATTGTTGTTCCTTTACCTAAAAACAAACTAAACTTTCTGAGTTGTCTTATCATTTAAATCATTAGAAATGATATATATTTGATATATTTAGTGCAGAAACTCTTTAGCATGTTTCAAAAAGTCAAAGAGGCGATTAAAGTTCAGTATTTTCATTAGATCCTCAATTCTAAATTTCTACATGTATAAAGATTTTTTTTGGCGGAAAGAAAAACTTTTAGACACACATAAGACTTAAACTAATTAGTTTAGAACAGTTTTTTATATATTTTTTCTTTTAATCTTATATTTTCATTGTTATTAAATTTATAATTAATAATTGACTTATGGGGAAGAAAAACTTTTAGACACACTTAAGCCTCAAACAAATTAGTTTAAAACAGTTATATTTTTTTTTCTTTTAATCATATCTTTTTATTTTTATTAAATTTATAATTAATAATAAACATGCTATTACAAAGAGATAACAGTTAGTTTACCAAGACAAAGATTTATTCATAAGTGAATAATGAATAAATAAAAAAAACATAGATGGCTTTCTGATAAATACCCATTCAGAAAAAAATAATATTTAAATAGAATTTAGAATATTTATCACACAGTCTATTGGTGCAAAAATGTATAAAAAATCAGTAGTACCAATTAATTATTCGATTCATTGTTTTTTCCACATAATTTGGATGGTAATATCAAAAAGTACAAACATAACTTAACTAAATATATGTTTTTCAGTAACCATTGGAGTATTTTGTGGAGGTGCTGTTATTGGATGGAGCTCACCAGCTCTTCCAGAATTGCAGTCAGCTAATTCTACCATTCCACTGACCCCCAATCAAGGATCATGGGTTGGATCTCTTCTTGCCATTGGCTCCTTCATCGGTGCTCTTCCGGCTGGCTCTGTTGCTGATCTCCTGGGTAGAAAGGTAATGCCCAAATCTTTCATTAAAAAAAACTCTTCTCCTTTTGATTATATTGCACCTTCCTTTCATTATCTCATGCACAAAATGAATCAATACCCTGGAGTTGTGAATATTTTAGGAACTTAGAGTCGTTTAAAATTGAACTATTTCTAAAAAATTCAGCTATTTCTAAAAATAGAATTTATTTAGCCATAGTTTCAAAACCCTCTCATTAAATAGTTCCAAATGTACAGCTTAATATGTCAGTACATCTCGAGTAGCATTTGGAAGAGGGTAATTTTTCTTTTTTCGGATTGTATAATTATATTTTTTACTAAATAATGAATGTTAAGAATGCTTTCAAAAGGATGGATTGCATCAGATAAATAAATCAACTATCTTTAATTTTTATTACACCATATCATTGTCCAGGAACATAAATTATTAAATGACCCATATAACATCTTACTTTCAACTAACAAGCGTAAAAGGAATATATTCATTAATAAAAAAAAATTTAAAAACTTAATTTTTATTTAAATGTTGTATCTTCCGAGAGAAGCAATCATTATTGAAAATATTTGTATATCAAATTTCAATTGCATTTTTTGATAGTTTAACAGAAAAGAAATTTTGACAAATTATTACTTCGGAGTTTCTAAAAATGGAATTTATTAATTACGCAATATGTTGATGGAAATTTTTGATACTCTTCAAGTAGGTTCTGCAACCAACTAAGAATATCATAACATTTTTTCAAAGAAATTTATCAATAGTTCCCATATGATTCCCATTAATTAATGGCCTTTGTTTTGATTTCAACTCATATTTTAAAGAATTGGTTCAAATCAGATTTTTTTGGAAGTTTCCATATAAATAAAATAATTTTAGAAAATCTGATTTATCTGTTATTATTGTTTATGTCGTTCATACATTGTTTTATTGTAATGTTTTTTGAGAGTTGCATTTATCCCTTCCTGTGTTGTGTTTGTTTACCTTCCTTCAGGAAGTGGGGTAAGTATATAAAATTTGTTTAAATTGTTAAGTAAATTATTAAATTGAAATGGTTATGAAGTAATAAATACAAAGACATTTCTCATTTGGAATAATTTAATATTATTATACTCTTAATATAATAATAATTGAGGGTATTAAAATATCAGCAGAGCAGGTTAATGGTTTTTGTACAGAAAGTAAATATTATTTAAGTATACTTAAATGAAATATGTGTAGCATACATAGATATTACAAAAGTACATTCTAAAAACAAACACTTTCTGGACAAAAACAAAACTGACAGACACTATCTTACTGACACTCTCATTTGAATATAAAACTTGCAAAAATAAATAAATCATTAATCATTAACAAGTAATATACTTTATTAATATACTGTTTTAAAAGTAGTGCACTAATTTAAAACTGGCACAGAATCGTTGAGAACGAATTGTTCAGAAAAAAACAAATAACACTAAGTCTCTCTCACAGCTAGATAATGAAAAAGAGAAATAGAATACTGGAGAATTAAAAGCATGTCTTATACATCCTAATATTATATTGTAAGTAATATACTTATAATATAATCATTAAAGTGTTAATGGGTAATTAATGTTATCCTTTCTGTAGAATAGATGACATTAATTTCAGTAGAAGGAAAGTTGTAGAATCTGTGGGAGTTGAAGGATGAAAACATCAGAGAACTAATGGAGGAAAGGCATCCTCACAAGCACAAGAAGAAAAGGTTAAACTGGTTTGGTTGAACATGATAAAAAAATGGAAGTCTGAAATGCTATTGAAGTCGATTGTGAGAGTAAAGTTAAGCCTGCCAGGATAAAATAATAGAGAAGAAAAAGCTTTGAATAAAAAGGAATATATAAACTAAAAAAAATAGAAACTATTCAAGTTGCTGAAAATTAAATTAGGGCAATGTGATGAAACAAAGGTGTATATATTAAGACTTTTAAAATATTCCATTTTGTCAATAAATGGTGTAGTTAGTTATCTCTATGCTTTGGTGTGAAAAGTATTCATTATTTTTTTAACATTAGCATGCATCATTAGGATTACCTTCCAAAACTGCTTTTTATTAACGTCCATTTAGTGCTAAGAAAACCCTAATTATTCCTTCAAGTCCTTCAAGGCAACATTATAAGTTTCATATTCACTTAACTATTCCAAATGTTTCAGAAACTATTCTTTTCTGGCTGATTTGTTATAATCTGAGGGTTATTTTAACACTATATGCACGTATTAAAAAAATATATATATGAGGGATATGTAAACCTGTACTCCAAATTAGATTTCTTTCAGCTTTTGAACTGGTTTGGTTTCCTGGAGCTTGGTTGGCTGCACTGGAATCGGCCACCACTTCGACTCTGTTAGAGGTTACCTCTAAAACCCATCTTTTTGTTCATGCATGAACTGCCTGAAATGCATAAATTCGTTATAGATAATGAAATTTAATACTTTTTTCTTAAAAAACTTAAATAAAAGATAGAAACTAAAGTAAAGAAAATTAATTTCCCAATCGATGCTTGTTGATTGTAGATTAATTAAATCTTATGAATCCAGCGTAAGTAATTTAGTGCAATTTGCGACATTGTTTTGAAAATATTAATTACCATTTAAATATTTCCTATCCAACCAATTAATTGCCCGGGTTTATTATTATGTCTTGATCAATAGTAAAATTAATGCTTCTCTTATTCTTTTTACTTAGTCCATCTAGAGTTTTTTTTTATGACTTCAACTACAAACATATTCGATGATTTTTTTTGCGGATTTCTAGATTTAATGCATTTAACCGCATAATAGATAGGAATGTATGCTGAATCAGATATCACAAACAGAAAAATGTTTTAAAATTCTTTGTTTGGAGATGCAAATGTTTTTTTCACGTAGAATCATCTCTTCGCAGAACGAAAATATGTACATGTTTTCAAGAAAATAATTTGACAAGTATCGAAATAAGTTTAAAAATAAAATCTTTTTTTAATTTTTTTTTTTTATAGTATTCATTTGCAATTCCAACAAAATCATGAATGCAATAGTTAGTGTTGTAGCCATAATTAACAACTAGATCTAGTTAATGACACTCTAGGACATTTCCATTAAAATTAATTAGTCTTGATGATATTTTCAGTTGACTATAATGAGCATGTCTGCTCCTCTTATGATTTCCTGGATCATGATTCACTTCGCCACATCTGTCAATATTTTCTACGTGGCTCGTCTCCTCGGCGGAATAGGACTTGGTGCTATATGCACAACCGTGCCGATGTACATTTCTGAAATTGCAGAAGACAGTATTAGAGGTATAACAATTTTTTTTTTTTCCTGATGAATATATAGCTGCTTAATTTGAAACATATCGTAGCTTAATTTTGATTCTGGCACTTAACCTAACTCCATAATCAAATGTTATTTATTTTCAGGAGCACTCGGTTCTGCGTTCCAGCTGATGCTGGTAGTAGGAATCCTCTATGCATACGTCCTTGGAGCGATTGTCCATTATACGATGCTACCACTACTTTGCGGAATCGTCAACATCTTATTCCTCATTGTATTCTTCAGGGCCCCAGAAAGCCCTCTATGGCTGCTAAAGAAGGATCGCAGGAAGCAAGCAGAAGAATCACTTCGTCGCCTCAGAGGTGAGAAATACGACATTTACAGAGAACTTCACGCCATGGAGAAAGAAATAGCGAATCAAAACTCGCAAAAGGTTCCTTTCACCAGGGCATTGAGCAAGAGATCGAGCATACTCGCCATGGTTATTTGTCTCGGAATGATGTTCTTCCAACAGATGTCAGGAATCAATATAGTCGTCTTCTTCGCCGGGAGCATCTTCAAGGACGCTGGAAGTAGTTTAGATCCTGCCGTAGCCACCATCTTCGTGGGAATGTCTCAAGTGGTATCAACCATTATCGCAGCTTCACTCATCGACCGCCTCGGCCGTAAAATCCTACTCCAAATCTCGGCTACGGCAATGGCATTGTGCCTGGTCGTCCTCGGTTACTACTTCCATTTGAAAACTAGCGGAAGCGATGTATCCAGCATCGGAACAGTCCCATTGGTCTCAGTGATCGTGTACATCTTGCTGTTCGCCGTCGGCTTCGGGCCCATACCATGGATGATCTCGGGGGAAGTTCTCCCACCAGAGATCAAGGCTACTGGAACAGGTATCGCCGTCGCTACCAACTGGTCTCTTGCGTTTACGGTTACCAAATCCTTCCAGCCACTCCTTGATGCTGTGGGACCCGCTATTACTTACTGGATCTTCGCCTGCCTCAACGTCTTCTCTTTCTTCTTTGTTACGTTTGTTGTGATAGAAACAAAAGGAAAAAGTTTAGCCCAAGTGCAAGAAGAACTCAGTGGCAAAAGAACAAAAGTTGGGAAAACAAATGCCTTGGTGTAAATACTTAACTATTTTTAAATAACTTATTACCTGTTTTTCCTGTGATTTAATTTTAAATTATTTAATATATTTTTTTATAAACATTATTTGTACACAAGTTGTGATTTATTATCCGCCTAACTTAGTAACGTAGTAACATGGTTAAGTGAAATATTTATACACTCAATTGTAAGCCTATTGTGTGACGAGGAAGAGAAAATTTACTAGCTCCAACCATCCCTCCTTCTCTCTCCTCAAATCGTCCATTACCAATTTTATATTTTTGCGAATTTTATACATCTACATTTCCAACAATGATCGAAAACATTCCTTGTTAATGATGCTTACTTAGAGAATAAGCTCTACACATTGAAGATAGGGTTTTCTTCATTGAATTTCCAAATGTTTCCCAATGATATTTTCACTACCAATCACGGGCGGATCTACGGAAGGGAGGGGGCTTTGGGGCTGAAGCTCCTCCCCTCCAAAATGGTAAAATATAATCATGTTTTATGGAAAAAAATTATCTCTTAAAGTATTATTGTTCGTGTAATTACATTTAAAAGGACTTTAGCAATCACTTAAACATCATTTCATATAGGTAGTTAGTTTCTTTCTTTTTTTTCCAAAGTAATTATCGTTATTTTCATGAAAAAACAACTCCAGGGCTAAAGTCCTTCCCTCCCCCCTCTCCCAAATTAAATCCTGGATCCGCTAGTGCTACCAATTGGACTAAATACAAATATAAGATAAATTTAAATTAATTGCTCATAATTGTAAATAAACGTTTCAATTATAAATGCGATCAATGCCCATAACAGAGACCTGGGTAAAAAACAGAGTTTCATTATCATTTTAGAACAGGGATCTCCAAACTAGGGCTCGTAAGCACCTCCAATCCGGCCCGTGAAACTTTTTTTGATTCAAATGTAAATTTTTTAAAAGTATATAAAAAATGTGAAACTTATTTAATCACTTAAACACGAGGTTACTACAACATTTATTTCATGAGTTGTTTCTTGGAGAAAGCTCGTTTTACAAATGAATTTTCACTTATAAAAACAAGCTTGTTTTTTAATCACTAGCCATGGCCCACGAAACTTGGTTAACGTCTCATAGTGACCCGTGGGCCAAAAAGGTATGAAAACCCTTGCTTTAGATGATAAACATTTGAAAAATCATTTTGTTCAACAGTTTTTTTCTTTAGTTTTTTTTATTTGAAAATTAATACATTCTGCCGCATTGGAGGGCATTGATATTAGGACTACATTAAACATTCACACAATATATACATACAAATGATAACTAAAATAGAGATAAAAGAAAAAGAGTTTAACATACATAGGTAAAAAAAAAATAAATAAATTAAAAAAATAAATAAAACAACAGGGAAAAAAATAGAGAAAGCTAAATGAAATTGAAATATATAAAATACTTTATTTTATATATAAATACAAATTTTATTTATGCATTTATTTTTTTTATAATGGATAAAAATGAAATTAAAGCTCTGCATTGATTAAATGTATTCATCTTTACTGAAAATACGGGTTCTTTTAGATGACTCGATATCAAATCAGGTTTTTTTTAGACAATTTAAGATGGCTGTCAACTTATTTCGTAATAAACCTTATAAATTTATTTTGTAATTAATATGAATTTGAAGCTTTTTGAATAAGAAAGTTTTTTTTTCTAAAAGTGGAGTATGTGTTGAATAGTTTGAGGGTTGAAAAAAAAAATCGCAAAGAATTCATGATTTTTTTTATAAACAGAATTTAGCTTAGTTTAGCCCACAATTCCTCTTTAAAAGTTTTTAACAATTCTACTTTCATTAGTACTAAACTTTGTCAAGTTTACTGTGAAGTAATTATTAATCACTTAAATTAAAACTTTTTTTAGATATTGCTTCCAATTCCACAAAACTTAAATGCCCTATCTTTCTGCGGAAAATTAGACCATAGATTATATAAACTTCTTTTGTAGCTTTTAAGATCCGCCATCCCTTTAAATATTTACATATACTTTCGGTTGGAACACTTATATATCATAAAAATATATCGTATATAGATATATACTATAAAATCTTTATGAAATGGTTCCTTCTTAACTAAACTTAATACAATTGATCATAGGCAAGTGATGATAACGTATAAATTTCGAAATCTTTTGTTTTTGTTTTAGAAACACAAAAAGTTTATTTTAATAAGTGGAATAAAAAAGTAGAGTTTTTATTAACTACCGATACGGAAATTCCAATGTCTTCTGAATTGAAAAATGATTTTAACTACTTATACTACCTTACGTATCCCATAAATATATTCAAGAAAAATTGAATATGATTAAAAATTAAAAATTAAATAATTTCAAATTAGTCTATAATATCTCATGAAATCAGTTAATATAAGAATTTAAGTCCCTGCTAAATTAGCTGGAGGACTACTGACGGAGGCCACTGGAGAATAGTAACTACAGCCTTTTGGAGTTTTCGGGCTGAATCTCCCTGCCCCCCCCAAAAAAAAAAATGGTAAAATATATCCATGTCTTACGAAAAATATTATCTCTAAAAAGTATTATTGTTCGTTAATTACATTTAATAGGACTTCAAGAATCACTTAAACACCATTTCCTATAGGTAGTTAGGTTCTTTCTTTTTCTTCCGAAATAATTATCATTATATATAGAGAGAGAAAAAAAATCTTTCGGGCTAAAGCCCCCCAAATTAATTTCTGGATCCGCTGGTGGCTGGGAAGAAATGAGTTTTAACCACGCAAGCCTCCTTCCATTCCCTTTATAAATTCTTCTCGCAATGGCTTCTCGAGCAGATCTTATTAGTAAATTTAGTGCATCGAACGACGATCCTCTCTTCCGAAAAGCAAATTGACAGTACACAAGTTCCCTCATTGAGGTCAGTTCGCAGAAGGCAGATTACCTGTCGGTATTTTACCGAATTGGAAAGATCCCTGTACGAAGAGAGGAGTTGTGCACATGTCAGAAGAGGACTGGTCAAATTGGGATGCTATCCGGGTCGGGAGCTTTGGAAACTATTATAATAAAATAACTATTATAACATTACAATAATTCTTGTTATACTCTTTTCAAAAATAAAAAAATATTGGGAGCCGATATACTGCTTACAATGAGATATTTTTTAAAACTATACATAGGATATCAAAGTTTATTTTCGACCATGTTACTTGAGGAAGGCGGGTGAATCTAAATCGATAAAACACCAAGAGGCGCAGTTGCAGAATTCAGAATGATCACCAGCCATGATTATTTTTAAAAACATTTATATAAAATAGGCGTAGCGGAATCTTCTAGCTGTGATCTCTGCAACAACGGATCTGCCATGGAAGTGGCAAACCTTGAATCATGCACTGGTTTGTCGAGAATACGAACACCAACTCCTTAAAGTCAGATATTTATTGGGCCGCTTAAAGACTCATGGCGGAAGCCGAAAGTCAAGAGGCATAAGATGATTCTTAATAATTTTAAAGATAATAATAATTTTAAAGATAATTAATAATTTTAAAGATAATAATAAATAATTTTTTTTCCTATGTCGAAGGCGTTGGTCTTTCGGCAATTCGACATCTTGCTGCTCAGTATAAATTAGATTTTCTCATATATTAAAAAATGTATTTTATCTTATGTCCGTCAAAGATGTGTCTAGCTGGCTTGCATCCATTCTTCCTTGATGATATAATGTACCCTCGGCCACGCCTGTCCGATGGAGAAGACTCTGCAGGTAGTCGTGGCCAGTCGCCAGGCGAAGACATTCATTCGTGTTAGAAACAGCGATATTTTCGATATTTACGATATCAGCTTAGGCCAAAAGATTACCAGGAGTTGTAATTGTAATGTCAAGGAAGAAAATGAGGATAAATGATTGATTGATTATGCGATTAAAATGATTGAAAAAGTTTTGATGGAAGTTGCAAGACGTGATGTTTAGGACAAAGTAATATTGAAAATATTATGTTGGAGATTATTGCTGATTTTTTAAATTTTAATATTGCATTAACTATGTCCATTTTATAAAATAATGGTGTTAGATAATGAAATTATAATCAATTCACTAGTTGGTGGGAATTAAAGTATTACTTAAAATTAAAAAGTAAAAGTTACAAATATATTAAATGGATACAAATGTACGAGGATCAGAACAGTTTTATTACAGCATTTCAAAAAGTTTTATCTAATATGTTTCTAAGTAATTGAATTTGAAAACATAGATAAAAATTAATCAATTTTCAAGTATTTACTCGAACTCATTCAAGACAAAATATATTACAATTATAATATTTTCAGTACATTTTATAACATTTAAATCTATATAATTACTATAGTTTTTAGTTAAATTTCGGGCTAGATAGACGTTTCGTGATAACCTTCTGATTAGACATTACAAAATAAATTTGAACAGTTAAAATAAAATATATTAAACCAAAAATTTTAGAGATTGATGAACCATTTCACATAATCAAACAGTGAATAGATTTCTATCATAATAAATAGTTTCATTAACCTGAAGCCAATACCTTAAAAAAATTACAAAATGGAATCAAGTCTTAGAACATATAGGTTTTTAGGATTCTGAATATTTTTGGAAAAAGCATAAATTAAATATTATATTTTGTCTAATTGTTGAAAAAGAAAATGTAGTGACAGTATTATGGCAACATGGATAATTACCGTCCTTAACGATTACACTCATTCATCCAAATATACTAACACGCCAAACTAATAGGATAACACGTTTAATGATATTTGAATTATTGAATGATATTTAGCAGTTTTGGTTTGAAAATTAATAATAATTAACATAACTTATAGTGAAAATGTAATTTTATATTTACATTTTAAAAGTACACCCCCATTTCCAATTAGTACCTTTAGTTCTTTATGACAGATATTAATTTCATCAATTGCAGTAGTAAATTCCTTTTACAGGGTCATCAGTAATAATTAATTTATTGATAATAATAATTAATGGACTAATGTGAAAATTGCAAACAACTTTTACCATAGTATAACAAAGGAACAAGCAAGGTGGGGTGTTTAACTTGAAACATTGTTTTGAAACATTGTGAGCTCAAAATGGTGAAAATGACTTCCTGTCCTACAGTATCCTTAACAATACCCCACTTATCGCTGCCGAACAAATCCGATACCTAAGATTCCACCTGGACAAGCGTCTAACTTGGAATCCTCATACCAGACTGAAACGACAAGAAACCGCTCGACGTTTCCGACTACTTCAGCACTCACTTTACAAACGCTCTAAACTGCCAATTAACTACTAAATACATGACAATAATAAGGCCTGTTTGGACTTACAGAGTCGAGCTATGAGGCTCAACAAAACCATCGAATCCCTCTCGTATCCAATCCTTGTAATCCAAAATCCTTCG